CCTTCTCCATACCCTAAACCTCTCCTTCTTGACTTCCAAAACCCTTCTTATATCTTCATCCCACCACCACGTCTCACCATGCCTACACTTTCCTTTCGTCCATCCACATACTTTATCTGCCGTAGCCAACACACAGTCCCTGTATCTCTCCCAAACATCTCCATCCTTACCACTCTCCCAATTTTCAGCCACCTTCACTTCAAATGCCTTCCTCACCTCTGCATCCTGCAACTTCCATGTCTTTCTCTTTGCCACAAACTTATCCTTCTTCCTCCTCCCCATTTCTTTTGATGTCACATCCATCACAACCATACTATGCTGCAACATACCAGGTATCGCCTTCACATTCTTCACATACTTCCTATGTTTGGCCCTTACCAATATATAGTCGATCATCGATCTATGTTCCCCTGACCTATAAGTAATCAATCGCGCTGGTTCCCTTGTGAACCAAGTGTTCCCCACCACCATGCTGTGTGCATCCGCTAACTCCAACACTCTACGCCCTTCCTCATTCCGTATACCATATCACCATCCCCCATGTACACCTTCATATCCGTCTGCATCCGCCCCCACATGACCATTCAAATCACCCAACAACACCACAAACTCATTCAACCCCGCTTGCCCAATTTCGTCAGAAACATCATCATAAAACAATATTGTATAATAATAACAATAATGATAATAATAATAATACAGCAAGAAAATAACAAAAATAAAACATTTTTTCAGATTTTCCGATGCCTTGAAAAGAAAAAGTCAAAAGTTCGCATTTGTCTATCGATTCTTCCATCCATTTATCATTCATTCATCAATCAATCAATCAATCTATCTATCTATCTATCTATCTATCTATCTATCTATCTATCTATCTATCTATCTATCTATCTATCTGTCTATTCATCCATTTATCCACCCATCTACCCATCCATCCATTCTTGAAAAATGCGACATTAAGGAAGGAAAAGTTTTGATCTGACCGGTTTACATTCATTTAGTGTCAAGATTATGTTTAAAAAATTTAATTTTTCAATTTATCATTCAATTTTAATTTATGAATTATCATCAATTTCTTATCAAAAATGATATTTTAAAATGTAAGCTATTTATCTAATGTCATGTAATGTATCTAACGATATATATCTAACGTACTTTTTTAATGTTAGATATATGATGTAGTATATCTTATGTTATATATTTAATGGTATGTATTTAATGATATATATATATATATATATATATATATATAATTTTAGATATATACATATATAAAATGATAGATATCCTAAGTTATTTTCGATAAATCACACATCTAATGTAATGTTATTTATGCCAGCATTCAATGTCTGAAAAAATATTTATTGTTTAGTTAATGTCAATTTATCTATATGTTATTCAATGTTTTTATTTATTATGAATTCGTTTAATGACACACACACACACACACACACACACAGACAGACAAACACACACACACAAATACATACAATACATGGTACAGACGATAAAACTACGCACACACCACACACACACCACACACACACCACACACACACACAGATATACAAATATCAATAATACATTAAACCACATACACATGAAGAAGATATGCCTTTTACACATACAAACATCTATATTTAAGTGTTATATTTATGTGTTATTCGTCGTTAGTTTTTAATAAAATTTTCAATAGAAGCTTTTTGTCTTGCTCCTTTACATAGAGTCCAGTTCAAACTTTCCAATACACGGTCATTTCGGTTAATTAGCATATTTTTTCATTGTAGTTTAGTTCACATAACCCACGTAACCCATTAGAAAAATTTAACGAGTTTCCGACTTGTAGTAATAGTAGTACTAGTAGTAGTAGTGGTAGTAGTAGCTAGAAGCAACTGCACAGCAGCAGTAGTAGTTGTAGTAGCAGCAAAAGTGCTGTGAAACTGTGAAAAAAGTTAGAAAATATTTTTAGATACCGTTATTATTGTGCTGGTAGTTGATGCTGTTCAATGTAAAAAATAAATAATATAAGTACATGTATCTGCTAAAGTATCGTTATATATCACATGACACAGTTAGATAGAGTTAGGGTCTGTCCCTTTGAAAGAGCCAGTTTGTGGCCCGGGTCAGATATTTGGCCTCTGATTTATTGAAAAGAATTTCCTAAGATAAATAATAACTTTTTATTTTCAATTACATTAATTGATATTTATTTTCAATTACATTAATTGATATTAATTCTTAATAAATACGCTTATAGGTTGAAAAACTTGGTCGATTAAAATTTTTTAAAATATTTTGTTATAATTTTTAGAGGCTCCTTAAACTTGGAGGCCCACACCAAATGACCCTCCCGTTCTTCCCACCATTCCAGGATGTGGATACAGTTCGGATACAGTGATATCCCGTGTACGTTAAGTAATTATATCCATAGTATCCATGGATTATATTTATCCATGATAATATCTTCCAAATTCCACCTTACTGTATCTTTGTGTAGTATTTTTATGTCTTTGTGTTGTCGATAAATAACGAATGGCGAAAATCGAACATTTAAATGGTGGAAATTTGCGTTTTTTTCAAAATTGTTATTAAAAATCGTTCTCTAACTTGAGTAGAAAACAATATCGCAAACGATCTGGGAATTTTTGTGGCAAGATTACAACTTCAAGGGTTTTATTTTTAATTCAAAATTCTTCCACAGTATCTGATGGCCAAAACGAAAACAGATGATCCCAGCAATTCGACTATTCGGGTATTTAATTTAAAGTTTTCTTTTTTCTTTTTGTTAATGAATGAAATATGTCTTTGAAATTTGTTATAAGTTATTATTAATTAATTGTAAATTGATAATATATATTGTCACTAACTGGCTAAGATGAATAGAAAATAATTGGAACATGATTGAGAATTGGTGGTTACAAAAAATGAAAATCAACTCTTTATCAATTTTTGCAAAATTTAAATTAAATCAAGTACAATTTCAAAACAGTAGAATTTAGAATGTAAATGATTATAAATACATTTCATTTCAAAAAATAGAAAGACATGACTGTCCTTTGACTATTAAAAAGTTAAATCATATTAAATATTGATTTTTTAAATTTATAATGATATTTCTTCTGGCAGATAATCCAAGTACTACAAAGACGCCACTTAACTGATCAACCCGTTGAACTTTTGGTAAAAACCCGAGTTGGTGAGGGCCGGCTCAGGGAGGTATGGATGCCACAATTCAAAGTCATGCACATGCCTCATGGCAGAGCATTGTTGAAGGCCTTTGATAAGACAAAAGTTTCTCAGATGGGTGTTGATATGTATCTTGGTAAAAGAAAAAGATCTATCAGTAGAGGCATTATACAGTTGAATCAGTCTGCTATTTTATCTGAAAAAAAGGACAAAGCTGCTACTAAAAGCATAAATGATGACAAAAGTAAGAAGGATGATGACAAGAGTAAAAAAGAAGTTACTAAGCAGTCGACTAAATCTACCACTGAACATAGGCTCGTATTATTTAGTTCTTTGACTTGAGAAATTAGTTGCTTGATCATTGTATGAACAATTTTTTGAGAAATTATTGTATGAACAAATTTATAGTTTATAACAAAAAAGCAATATAAGCATTAATTCAAATTTTTTTTTGACTTAATAATTTTTGAATTAACAATTTATATCTAGACCCAATGGAAAAAAGAGACCATCGATACAGAGTGGCCACGGTCCACTGAAGAAAAAATTTAGGTGTGGTTCCAAAAAACCATCACCACAACTTCCTGCACCTTCTCTGCAGCCATCATCATCGTCACCATCATCAAGACCAACATCACCATCGCAACCAACGTCACATTTGTCAGCACAAGCTTCTAATAAATTCAACTCCAAATTATTACATCAACTGCAGTTACATCCCCGTGCAAACAAACTTTTAAACAGCAAACAACATTTTAGTCTGGTGAACAAAAATAAATGTCTCAATGATAAATTTGATAAATTGCCATCCGTGCCAGTTGTAAATTTGTCCATCAAGAAAGCAGGTTTGTTCATTTAATTTTTTTAATTTAATTTTTGTTTCACTATGTTTTTTTTTATATAAAAGTTAATAAACAATAATATATTTCGAAATTTAAATTTGTACATTTAAGTTTTTTGTCAAAATGAATGAATAATATTTCTACAATGACATGTAGAAATGTCATTGTATTTATAATTTATAATTATAAATTTATAATTATTAATTATTTAATAATTAATTAATAACTATAATAATTAATTATAATTTTAAATTATAAATTTATAATTATACATTATACAATGTATAATGTATTATACATTATACAATGTATAATGTAAAAGCATTATACACCACCAGCAGTTCTGCCACAGAAGTTTGAGTGCTACAGCCAGCAACACAGCCACTACATCTGCTGCCTTTGCTCTAAAGTCATCTCATCGTCACACTCAGCCATCCCAAAAAATATCCTTCCAGTAGATCATTCTCAATCCAAGGCAATCCTTGATCAGTCTCAGCCACCCATCATTGACAAGATAAGCAATCTAGAATGTTCCAATCTAGTAGCAACGAAAGACTTGGTTGCTATGGAAACAACATCAAAGGAGTCGACCAGCTTGGAGAGGAGGTGGAGTATTCGACAGATGGAGGGGGCATACCGGTTGAAGGAGATGATGGTGCGGAAGTGTGAGGGTTACGTACACCTGGTTCTCGGGTCTGAATCCAAAAATAGGAGTTGCTTCAAGAATTCATTCAATCCAAATGTTAGCAGATGACGTTTTTCTTGAGTCACTCAGTGTTCATCTGCTCTGTGTGAACTAATTAAATTTCACAGCTATTCATTTGATGTGGTTTCGAATTTAAGTATATAACGTTTAATGTTCATTTTGAAGTTTGTAGATGATTGAGCAATATTTATTTTTATATTTTTATGCGCTTTTGATTTTACACACACACGCACACACACACATATACGCCCACACACACTCATTCTTCCAATCTGTTCATCCACACATCTTCAGATGATATCAGAATTGACTCTAGTCCTGAAGAACCTGATGTCCGATGACAGTCTGGTGGTCCTCATATCTGGGTCAGGTAACACATTCTCGGCAGGGGTTGACCTACATTACTTGCTGCACGGCGAGTCGGATAGGAGGATTGCCGCTAGAAATATGGCCACCCATCTCAAGTTGGATTTGAGAATGTGTCATTTTTCTCTCATTGTTCATGTCTGTTTCTCTCTGCGTTTTTAATTTTAAATATGTGTCCGTGTATATGCTCCATTCATTATCACGATTGTCTTTGTAGAGAGTTGGTCAGCGTCTTGATAGCCTTCCCCAAGCCACTCATAGCAGCAGTGAATGGAGCAGCAAGTGGCCTGGCAGTAGCCATGTTACCCCTTCTGGATCTGGTCTATGCAAGTGACAAAGCCTCCTTTTCGTGTCCCTATGTCGATGTGGGGCAGACGCCTGAGGCCTGCTCATCGTACACGTTTCAGAAAATTATGGGCCCTGCTATGGTACGTAGATGGTGGTTGTGGCGTTCGTTTGTATGGTTGTGTGTGTGGGGATTGTTCTGCAGTTTAGCGGATGATGAAGATTATTATAGAAAGCGCTTCTGAGGTCTTTCAAGAGAGGCGCTATACAAATTTCTGATACTGATACTGATTATGAATTGTGAATGGCGTGTTATTATTTATTATCATTCTTTAAACTTGTTTTTCTTGTTTGCAGGCGAACGAGTTGTTGATTCGAGGGAGGAAGGTAACAGCTCTCGAGGCACATCAGATTGGTCTTGTCACCCAGGTTGGCCCGCTATGACGATGATGATGAGGATGATGATGACGAGGAGGAAATTGATGAGGATAGTTGTTTCGGATGATGGTGCTGTTTGTGATGATTGATAATGGTTAATTGATTGATTGATTCATTCGTTGATTGATTTAATTTCATCAGGTGTTCTGGCCGGAGAACTTCATGTCTGAGGTCACGCCCAGGGTTCAAAACTTCGCTCATCTCAATACAAAAGTCTGTGCCTGTTATCAGTGTTCTGTTTGTTTGTTTGCATATTTTTTTCACATCTGTGTTTTTGTTTCATAATATTGTTTTGTCATATCAGTCAATTGTCAGTTCGTATGACTCATCCACTTGTGCTCGTCATTTGTTTGAGTTTCTTTCAACTCATACACTACCTTTCCAAATAATAATTCCTTTTCACTTTCACATTCTCTCATACTTCATGCCTAGCTTTAAAGTTTACTTTCTGTTATTTATACTTTTCTATTTTTATTTATTCACTCATTCATTCATTCACTCATTAATTCATTCATTCACTCACTCATTTATTCATTAAATTTTTCAGGCAGTGACGTCCACAAAAATGTTGATGAGACATCACAAAAGAGCCAAATTGGAGACAGTGAATGAGGCGGAGTGTCAACATTTGATTGACTGTTGGTCGTCCAGTAGGACGCAGAGCCACATGAAAGCCTACATCGAGAGGCACAACGATTGGCTGGCTGGATAACTTATGCTAATGTATGCTAATTTACGTATATATCCTGTGTTTGTATGATGATATTTAAGTGTTTATCAGTATGTTGTATAGTATCAACACAATGTTAGGTGAAAAAATTAATGGGAATGAATTGCAGAATTTCAGTTTAGGTTATTTAGAAAATGTAATAATGTCTTGAATCAATTATGATCTATCCATTCGGTTTTAATTTTTATGGTTCACTTACAGGGAACATCGTTCTATTTTCCACTGAATGTGTGTACGTGTTACGTATTATATGTGTACTGTACATAGTATGTAAATGTTATTTCATCTGTGTATATTTATTTTATATTATATTGAAAATTCCTTGAAATTCTGTCTGTAAATTTATTTATCTTATATATTATTTATTAAAATGTCTTCATCATTGTATATGTAGAAACAAACACACACCAACTTAACTGCATCATCACATCAGGATGGTGACATTGTTGCATCACATAACTCCAGCACATCAGTTGTTTAAATACTTAACTATATATCCTATACTTTTATAAGATACTTACTACTCTTGCTCTAGCTCTGAAATACAAAATTGCATTTATACACGCGCACATACGTTTTTGTCTGTACACATACAACACACACACACACAGGAACACACGTATACAGACACACACGCACGCATACACACTCACACACACTACATTAAACAAACATCTACACATATCTGCAAAAAAAATGTACGACAAAGAAAATCCGTCATACAATCATGAAATGTATGTATCAAATGTATCAATACTTAAACATAAACTAAACGTGTTTGCCAGGGTTTAATTGTTTTTTTTTTCCTATAAATGCACATTAGTAATAACTTGCGCACTGCATTCGAATACTCAAATATTTAGTTTTTCCTAGTTTTTTCATTCTTTGTTAATTTTTTTTCTGTTTTTTTCTTCTGTTTCTTGATATCATGTCCGCGAATTCTATTGTGTTAAATTTTTGTTGTTTTTTTTGACTGACGCCATCGTCGTTGCATAAATTCATGGTTTGATTTCTGTATATGTTTCTGTTAAAAAAAATATTTGGAATCTTGTATTACGAATGTTCGTAGGCTGGATTTGATGTTTGTTCTTGTTGAAAGTTTTGCCATTCACATACATTATCAAATTTTAAAGGGGTTAATTTTATTATTTGATAAAACACATTTATTCGTTTAGTTGGTTTCTTTATCTATTATTTATTTATTTATTTATTCAATTATTTGGCTTTTGTTTACTTAGAAATTTTTATTCTCCTTATAATCCCATGTTAACTTGCTGCTAAACTTTTTTCCATCAAATCTTGAAATTAATTTGATCATAGAAGACTTACAATTTTTTTTAAAGTTTCTATGGCTTTTCGTGGCTTCGTTTGTCTATCCTTTCTTCATGTGTGGGTGTTATACATACTTTGCTTGCATTGAATTTAAATGATCATATTTTTCTCTATATAAATTATTATTCATTTGATCTTTCTCTGTTTACATACGCACACACACACACACACGCACACACACATATATATATATATATATATACATGTATGTATAAAGGCAATTATTGACTGTTTTAACCCTATATATATACATACATACAAGCAATATTGTATGAATTCTACCGTCACCTTCCAACATATGTATATGTTTATTTATTCGTTTATTTATTTCATGTTTCAAGTCTTTATAAATTTAGTGTATATATGTATATGTAATATAAAATTATGCATAATCGAGTTAGATGTTTATAGCTTCAGTTGTATTCTCTGGTTAATATGGGATGAGATGCGGGTAGGCACACTCAAATGTAAAGTAGTTTATTGATTAGGCTTATGCTGTATTACTACAGTTTCTAGGACTGAGAATAAATTTTTTTTGTAAACTATTTCATCATATTGCATCTCCTATCTTACATTTTTATGTTTTTTACTTTTAAAAATCTTTAAAAGGTTTTAATTTTGTAACATTCAACGAAATTTAGGAAAGTTTTTGTATGATTATGTCCTTGTTTTTACAAAAATAATTAGTATTCATGGCCAATGGAACCATCGGCGCCTTTAAAAATTCTTATAATTATGATAGGTATTCTATCATCAAACATTATACACTATTTTATAATATCTAATAATTACGATTGTAATACAGAAGTTTAGTAGGGTGTCTGAAGTGGCGAAATATTCGTACTATATTATATATTATATAATATATATTATATTATATAAGTAAATGTGCTGAAAATTCTGCATAGGCGAGAATGAATCGTGTATTGAAGAATTTGTTCAACTATTCGATGGATGTGACATCCGATTTTCTCCGAGTTCGAGTGAAATGAAATCTGCTCCATCCCTTATTAATCAAAACAAATACTTTGTTAAATGTTTGCTAGAGAATTTCATTTTCACAATTAATTATTTTTAATTTTTTTGAATAATCATAAAATGTCAAAAGTTAAGAAGATAGTTGAGGAAGTGCGAGATTCAAATTCAACGGAAATCGATCTTGTCGATCGTGGAATCATTAATTTCGCTGATGTTCCGGGTTTATGTTAGTAGTTGAGTTGATTGATTGATTTTGTTTTGTCATTGTTGTTGTGTGTTTGCATTATATTTGTCTGTAATATATATATATATATATATATATTATATATTAATATATTATGTAATGTTTTGTTGATGTTGTATGTATTGTTACTGCGATTGTGTTGGCTCTGTTGTTGGCCCTGTTGTTGCTATGCTTTTGGTGTTGAGACAATTAAAAATGCTTCTTATCTTATTCTAATTTACAATATATATCATCAGATATTGTAAATTATCTATTTTCATTTTTATTTCTATATCATATTATGATAATATGATTATCATCATAAGAATCTATCACTAATTTAGATTAAAAATTATAATCCTATCATATCAACAGTTCAGTTAAGGAATTTGACAAAAATATCAATCAGCCATAACAAAATAGTTGGTTAGTTCTGGCCAGTGCATGAAATTTATTTCTACCTTTTATATTTTAAGATAAGATTAAGATTAAAATATGAGATTAACATTGTAATCATCACATCAAATATCTTATAAAATCATAAATCTAGTCATCACATATCATCACATCACGATATCATGACTTTCCTATCCTTATCACACAACACATTATATATTAATATTATAATTATATAATAATATTATTTAATAATTATTTATATATTTTTTATCATTTTCTTGCAATATGATTAATTGAACATATGTGTGTGTGAAGAAGTACCGCCTGCTATTGCAGAGTTCATCAACTTAGAAGTGTTGAATCTCTTCAACAATTACATTGAGGTTGCTACTGATTTCAGCTATCCACATTTTATTTTCATTGTTAACTTATTTATTCTTATTTACAAATAGTTAAAAAATAATTAAAATAGTTTAATTTGATAATCTAATTAAATTATAATAATGATTTTGTTTTTTCGTTCATCTTCTTTCAGATCTTACCCACGTCAATAAGCACTTTGCAGAAATTAAAAATACTGAATTTAGGGTATGGATTAGTAGTTATTTCAATTTCACACATATCAAAAACAATGTAAAATATTTCAAAAGCATGAAAAATTTGTTTAATAAACATTTGACAATGAATCAGTTAAATTTTAGATGTACCTAGGTTATAATAATTTTGAGGCCCTTCCAAATCGTTATGAAATTTCTTATTTATGCATAAAATCTTTAAAATATTTTAAAATATCTCCCTAAAATTTTAAAAATCTCTTATGAAATTATTACAGGATGAATCGTCTTAATGAGCTTCCTCGTGGTTTTGGTGCATTTCCAAGTCTGGAAGTTCTTGATCTGACTTACAACAACCTGTCAGAGAATAAACTGCCTGGAAATTTCTTTTGCTTAAGTAAAGAATTAAATATTAATTAGTTTTTATTTCTAATTTTTAAGCAAATTTCATATATAAATATAAATTTATTTAAGATTTTAGTGGTACCATCTTTGCATTAATCAATTTTTAAAAGTATTTTCATCTTAAGTTATTTTCATTCATTTACCTAAATTACTACCTTCGTAAATCTTAGTGATTTGTTGAATTTTTCTTTACTGTAAACTTTTACTTTTTACTTTCCACAATGTTTCTACCAATTTTTTTCCATTCAGATACTTTGAGAGCCCTGTACCTAGGTGATAATGATTTTGAGACACTCCCAAATCAAATCAACAAACTTGTTAATCTACAAATTGTTGGCACTTTTTTTTACTTTTCATTTGCCATAATGTTTTGAAACTGAAAATGTTTAAAATATTTAGAATTGTTATAAAAAACAATCTTGATAGATGTTATTCTTAGATATATTTTACTCTGTCCTGTCACTATTATGATACACTACAATATGTAAAATATTTGAGTTGCTAGCTATTAAAACCAACAAGGCTATCATTGATGAGAATTTTGAAAGTAATTGCTCAAGCTCTAAACATTGAACTTTGTAAACACGTAGTTGGTCCTGAGAGAGAATGACTTGATATCCATCCCAAAAGAGATTGGAGAGTTGAGCCGTTTGAAAGAACTCCACATACAAGGGAATCGACTTACCGTTCTTCCACCAGAATTAGGTAGGTTTGTCTAACATTTTTTGGATGTTTTCCGTGTAGATGGCGTCGTGCTGTACACATCATACATCCCACACACACATTATACCAAGCAATATTTTTCGTAGGAGATCTCGATTTGGTAGGTCAAAAGCAAGTTTTCAAAGCAGAGAACAATCCTTGGGTTCATCCAATTCAGGAGCAACTCCTGCTGGGCGTCTCTCATTTGTTTGAGTACTTGCGGACTGATACTTATAAATAGTTTGTTTGTTGTTGATGTTTATCATGTATGTAGATTTTATTCTTAGTGCTCCATTCAACATTTTCCTTGAAGGTATTTTAGTCTATTTTGCAAGCCTGGTGCCTGAAACAGTAAGAGCAGGCGCCTTTATTCTCACACCATCAGTTATTTTAACGTTTTGAGATTAGTGTGCTTACGTGACGATGTTTAGGAAGATATGCATGCACATTGTGTGCATGTACTGTACACGTACAGTTTTATGTACGCCTATGTATGTATATCTATATGTATGTGTGTGCGTGTGTGTGTGTATGTATGTATGAATGTATGTATGTATGAATGTATGTATGTATGTATGTATGTATGTATGTATGTATGTATGTATGTATGTATGTATGTATGTATTTATTGAGAGATGCGTACGTGAGCAAACTGTTAAAAACAACCATCTGATATATATATATATATATATATATATATATATATATATATATATATATATATATATGTTGGTAATAGACCATAATTGTAAAAATATATATATATATTTATAAAACGTAAATATATATATATATTATATATATAAAACGATTTTTTTCCTCTCTCCTCCCACAAGTTTGTACGGTCGACACATGAATGCCGACGCCCCACCGCCACCAAAGACAAATGACAAGTCGAAGAAAATCAGCAGAAAGCATTGATAGATGGACACGTGCATGGATGGATAAATAGGTGGATATATAGAAAGGTGAATTAGTGGATAAATAAAATAAATAGATGGATAGAGAGATAGATTAGATGAATGTATGGATGGCTAAATCTATTGAAAGATGAATTAATGAATGAGTGCCTGGGCTAATCAATGGATAAATGGGTGACTGAGCTGATTGTTAGATAGATGGATCATGGTATGAAATGATGAATGAATGTATGGACCGATTAGAAAGTGAATGAATAAATGAATAGATAGAAGGATGGATTGAATTGTATAATGGGTGCATATATGGATAGATGGATGGGTTTCAATATTTTTTTTACTAACTTTCATTAATATTTTTATTTTTCACTGTGAGGTTTATTAGCGAGCAACTTGTACTTTTTTGCTGTTCAACAGTTTTTTTCAATTGTAAAGTTTTAAAGTTTCTGACTTATACTTGCTTGCATAGTACACACACACATACACACACACACACACACTATCATGTTTTATTTTTAGAAAATAGTTCATTACACATTAAACAACACACAATCGGAATGCCTGCTATGCTATTAACTGAACAATATTTAGACAAGTCACACACATATTTACTTGATAAATGCATCATTTGAATTTTGTGTGCAGTTGTCCTTTTCACAAACAAAAGCAAACTGTATGCGTGCATATATGTATGTGTGTATGTATATGTGTGTTGTATGTGTTTGTATGTAGGTATGTATGTGTATATGTGATTGCCATTTATTCTGGTTCGTTTTTATAATTCTGTGACCTTCATTGATACGTGTATACGAAACTCGTCTGTGTTTGTTTAGATTCAATAACTAACCATTACATATAGCTATATCTAATGTTATTGATTATATACATACTAATATAATACATTTGCGCGTGTATGCAATTGTACATTTTTTGTCTAAGCTTAAATAATGCTAGTCTGTGTTATATGCATGTATTTTCTTGAAAAAGCAATGTACATTGATATGAGTATGTATTTGTTATAGATACGCTATTTTATATACTGTCCACGCCCCAAACGAACCCGCACATATTGAAACAGTCATTCATTTTTTCACACACACACACACACTCACAATCATTCGTTCTAATTTTAAAGTATTTTTTATACCCAAAGCTTCTGTCCAAACAAGCTTACACAATTTTTCTTCGATATTTTTTTTTTTCATGTAAACGTATCTATCCCCTTTTAATTTTCGTTTAAACTAATTAATTTATATTTGTTACATAATAACATCAGCCACGTTCGTAATAATTTATTTTCAAAAAAATATAGCAACAATTACTTCTTGGCTGGCACCTTATCGCTTAATAGCAGTAACAGTAGTCTGCCTGTTACTGTATGCAACGATTATAACTACTACTACTACAGTCTTATATATCCCATCAACGGTTTAAAACCACTGAGTGATTAAAACTACTAAAATCAATAATGAAGTAGTATAATATATATATTTATATATATATATAAATATCTGTGTGTGTCCATTCAGTTATACTAGGCATCGGATTTTGCATTAATCATAATACTCTTACAATAAACTAATTTAAAATTCCACATATAATTAGTCTAGATTAAAAAGAAAACAGAGACATGAATGTACTTTACACAGAGAGGCATTTCAACCAAATGACAATCGGGTGCGTGATCGTTTACAAACATGTCCCTCAAAAAAATGTTTTTTAGATAATAATTTTGATGATTTTAAGATAAGATTCCTCAGGGCTTTGCCAAAACTAGCACTACGTTTATTTTACCAATCACTGTATGTATGTATGTATGTATGTATGTATGTATGTATGTATGTATGTATGTATGTATGTATGTATGTATGTATGTATGTATGTATGTGTGTATGTATGAACCCATAATTGATTAGAACTATAAGGAAGTAATAATCATATCCGGGTTAGTGTATGTATGTATGTGTGTGTATGTAAGTACGTTTCTAGATGGATATCACATTAAAAAGATGTCAGTGATTTATTACAGTAAACTATTATACTGATCATAATCATACAAATGAATTACAAATATAAGTGAATTATAATTAGAAGTGAATAATAAATATAATTAAACCTTAAATAAGTCCAATGCACCGTTATCATAAGCGCAAATTATTTGATTGATTGATTAATTAATTACACTTGTGTATTTTAAGCCTTGCCAAACTTAATGAAATGGACAACAATGAAAAAATTGAAATACACATCTCCTAACTACAACGTTACAAACGAACGAGTCGACATAATCAGAGGCACTTCAAGCATTCATTTGAGTGAATGAGTGGGCGAATGAATGAATGGATGAAATAAATAGATGAATGAATGGATAATTGAAGCCACAATATAGCGTGAAATAATAAAACGACAATATATATATCTATATACGTAGATATCTATCTTTCTACCTATCCCCTATTTACATACATCATCAAACTGACTGACTAGTGGTACGAGGCAATTTGTTTTCAATGCACAGTTAATTTGCTCATTTTTCTACAGGCCATACATTCATTCATTCATGTATTTATTCATTCATCAATCAGTATTATTTTATGCACAACCATTGTTAGTAGTGAATTGTTCTAATATTATGACGAGGTTTTAATCTGTATTATATTAGTATTATTTAACGTATTAGATAAGTAGTAGTAGTGACAAATTTGCTCATTCAAATAAATAAAATAAATAAATAATAATCTATAAGATTACTGAGTGAAATTGATACATTAATAAATGACGTCATCCTCACATCCAATCAACAGTCACCATTACAAATATTAAAATTAATACAATTCTGCAACCCCTCAATAAAAAATTAATAAAGTTAAAAAAATAAATAAAAAATTAGCTAAAATAATTGAAGTGAAACAGCGAATACGCACATATTTAATTATTTACAACAGTTTTATTTTAGATATCTTAATATTTATAAAGACACGAAGTCAAGAAGATATGAGAACAACCATAGAAACAATGTGAAATGATAAAAGTCAAGCCAAACAAACGAACTCTCTTACGAATACGTCAATGTCAACATTGAACAGGAATATTTTTTAATTTTTCAAAATGAACATAAGAAATGAATGAGCTTTTCATATGGAGTTTTTTCTATTATAAAAAACATCATAGATGGGTTATTTTTTTTTAAATAGGAAAGTTAAACAAATGAGAAAAAAAACAACCTCAGAAGATCTCATCATAATACAATATTTACAAGAAAGTGTTGTAGAAGCATGCTATTGGCATTCAAGTAACTTCATAGATATATCAAGTTTGAAATTGAAATTAACAGTGTTAATCAATCAATTAATCAATTAGGCTTAACATGAATTTTCCATAATGACATCTCACTAGAAGCCAAACGTTCAAAACTGCAAGCACACTCTGAACATAAGCATGCACGAACATTGCATGTAATTGATACATTAGAATTTAATGTACACAACTCAAATCAATCAGATAATTATCTAATGAAACTATTATATTGTTCAAAATACATAATTTAGCATACATCAGAAAATACCTACGAAAGAAATTGATATGATATGAACAAATGCATTTGTGATGCAACTACGAGATTGTAGACTGCCATCAAATTTCATGCATCACCAAATTATCAAATAATTCATATCAACTGCTAATTAGCCAATCAGGAAATAATTGCTTAATTTGAATTCAAGTTGATGTGTTTGACGGCCAGGGCATTCTGGTCGACCATTGCAGACGTCTGGTTGGTCTTTGGCTTCAACTCTGAACTTTTTGGTGGGGTCAGTACCTGGACGTTACTGGGCTCTACAGAGAATGAGGCAGCACTGGCGGAATGATTTGGGGTCACCTGAGATCTTCTTGACGGCCTACTGCCCATCAATTTGTGGCTCGGTCTCGGGGCTTCTCTATATGCCTCAACCTTTTCCTAGGTGATGAATTTCAATAAACTGAGTTTATAGCAAGTGTAAATAATATTGTTTAACTTAGTGGAAGAGTTTTGAAAAAATTTGATATATTAGAAAAATTATTGAATTATCAAGATTATTTAGCAAAAGATCAGCCTACCAATAAGGCAAGGTTGACACTTCGTGTCTGGATGTTGTGGGCGAATTCTTTAGGTACGTTATTGAAGGACGAACAGGTGATAGATGCATTGCCTTCTGCCTCTAGCACTTCGAAGAACGGAAGCATCCATGTATGGCAATCATCCATCTCTTCGCACGACAAGGCTGCAAGGAATTTAACAAATTCATATTTTGTCATGAGATCACTGAATAATCGAGCAACATTGATAGCATGAGCAAATTTTACTATACATGACCACCGACCAAACAACACCATCATTCAACATCATTATAAACCAATCTAACCAACCTGTGATCTGTGTGACAGCAATGATGCTATCAATGTAGAAACTGAGGGTAACAGAAGCCAGCATATGGTACCGAAATTGAAGCGACTCAGTACTCATGAGACAGAGATCCAACAACTGACTGGCTCTGACAAAGACATCCTGGTCGTAACGCACCAAGAGAAACTCATCCCCTGGTTTTGAGGCATGATTCTGCAAAAAAAGCCCCAACCAACAGACACATGTGACCGGAGCCAACTTCCAATCCAGCACCTGATCATATACATTAGTTTTTATATCAAAATTTCATGTTGAAAGATAAGAAATGGTTTTGTGAGTTGTAAAGTTTAATCTGATGATACCCAGTCCACATAGGATAACATAAAAACAATTTTTCCCGGATCATATCACAAGATAGTATAGCAAGCAGATGAATTTGATAATTACATTTGCCATAAACACTGACCCGAAGCATATGTAATTCGAATGCCAGCATCTCTTCAATAGTGCAAGCACCATCTGTTATGAAACAGAATTCTGGAAGTTTCGGTGGGTAGATTTCCTGGTCGGGTAGAAATGAATCAATATATAAATAAAAAATGAATAGTTTCTCATCATCAACCACCACCATAATCCTCAAAATACATACTTCATTCTTAGAAGCAATGAACAAGGATGTTATCCCGATCAACTGCAGGGTCGTCTTCTGGATCCCATTCGATCGACTCAGGTACCTAAACAATTTTACGAACATCATTATTTGTTGTGTAATAATGATACAATTGCAGAAACAACAAACATTTGACCTCAATATGATATTATTGATATGTCATTACAAAGTGATTGTATATCAGTATATAGGACAGATAGTATATTTTTAATCTTCACCACTTCAAAATTTTTAATATGAGTCGCGGCATTGCCAACAGAGCAGATTGAGTGGTCTGGTGAAATATAGCAGCCAGCACCAATTGATTACACCACCACAACATAATCAAAAACATATAAACAGCATAAAGAAAACAAACCTATCAACATAATCAATTGCCATATGCAATGTCTTCCTGTGTAATTTATAGACATCACAGACTTCAATCAGCCAATCAATTAATATTGCTCTCATTTTCGGCTGAATGTCTGGATTCTGTTTGTAAAGATTTTCGTCTCTGAAATAGGGGGGTTCCATTTCTCTTGAGACCATGCAAAACCATGTTTCTTGAGAATTTGTCCATGCAAGTGGAGGTAGTGGGTTGTACTTTGGGTGAAACCTTCGATCAAAGGTTGGATAATGAGGAGAGGATGGTGTGTCAGGACGGGCCGACCTGAATGTTTCTGGAGTCTTCCTATTGAAGATATCCCAGCAAACGTGCTCTCGGAAGTTCATGTGTGGCTTCATCATAGATGTTCTGTCGTTGCAAGATGTTCTTCGTGAAGCAGATGACCTAGAGACTGTTTCTTCAGATTTTTGCTTAGAAACTTTTTCACTGTTTCTTGTGTTTTGCTGTAGAAGAAAATGTCAATGTTGATTATGTTTATGTAAAATTATATTCGGTAAAATAACAATTTACTAAATTATCAGTTAAATTTGAAAATAGACATATAATCAGAGAATGATGTGAAAATACAAATAATCACTAGTACTAACATTGCTACTAACAGTGTCCAACTTCGCTATCTTAGAATCTCTATCGTGATTCGACGATTGTAGTGGCACTCTTCGTTTTCTCAAAATTCGAGCATGACTCGTACTGTGGGGAGATACAAGATTGATAATTTGATAGTAAAAGTCGAATATGTATTAATCAAATAGTTGAATATACATGAATATAGATAATTATATTAATTAAACCAAGCAAATTCCATATTTAATAACAAAATAACTTGTTGTAACTATAAATTGTGTTAATAATGTTAAAACAGCATTGTAATGAATAACCAAATAATTGAAAAATATTTATAAAATCACATACCTTGGAGTTGAATCTTGTTTAGACGTTTCCATGTTGATGCTTCTTGTCACCTATATAGAAACTTTTGGCCTGAAATTTACAAGCATGTTGTAAAAAAGAAATGAATATTGTAAAAAAGCAAAGTTTACAATGCCATAGTAATAAAAATTTGGAATTTGCACAAAGAGAACACATGTGATTTAGATAATTTATTGTATTATTTTATGACTGTAATAAAAAATAAAATATCAATGCACTGAGTGATTTTATATTTATTGAGAATTTTTAATCTACATATTATAATACATATCATATGTGATTTATGGTGGTTTCTTTTTTTCAAAGTTTAGTTTGCCCTTGCAGCTTGCACATAACATAAAGATAAAATAAATAAACGAATTTTAAACAAACTATTTTCAATTTTTTTTAAATAAATAAAACGGATATTAAATAAAATAAATATATTATATATATATATAAGATTGAAAAATATTTACTTTACAAAATCCGGCCGGCGTGCTTGCTTGTTGATCTGATTGTAAGTTTCCGAATCAGTTATTTCACCTAATAAACCGATAACTCCTATAACAGTTTTCCCACTCAAAAATAAAACACTAATTGACTAATTAATTACTAATTTAATTAATTACGGGGTTATTTGCAAGCTAAACGCGATAAAATTCCAATCATCTGGGAAGTGAATAATGCGGACGAATGAGGAGAATAAAATATAAAATCGCGATTGCTTAACTCTGCAATTATAAAACAAATTTAAGATATTTTAAAATAAAATTCGAGAAATTATGCAGGCGGAAACTAGCTCGTAGACATGTTGTAATAAATATGTTAGTTAAGCAGTCATTATTACATATATCAGACACCACCAAAAGGTCCAAATCGCTCGCACACATACATGTATGTGCAATGCCCGCCAAATGATGATACCACAAAGGCGCTAAATAATTACCTATCATATATCCCAGGCATTTGCATGTAGTTCGAATATATATTTTTTATGTTGTAATTTAATTATTTCGTTGTTATATAGTAATATTTGTCGATATTTCTGTGAAAATGTTATTTTATTTCGTCAATTTATCACGGCCGGTGATGAGTTTGAGTTACTGAGTCTATGTGGTATTTTCACCACTTCATATATGTTCGTGTGTATTAGTTGAGGCAATATTGCTCATAAGATATCATTTTGAAGTCTTTTAATTATTAAGTTTTGGAGGGATTTGTGGTTTTTATTGCGAAATGTCTTAACTGTGTCAAAAAATAAGGATGCGTGAAGCATGCGTTCACCGAAAATGTTGCTAAATTTAAATTTTAAGGCCACTTGGGGCATAAAATGCACATAAGTCTAATGAATAATTGCTAATTAACCGTTCTATAAAAATACATAAAAAAATTATACACTTATTCAGGTAAAATTTTAACGATTGCGGTCGGAATTATGAAATAATCATGAAATGCCAACATGAATGACACAGTTTGCGTTGATATGATTGGTTAGAGGTAGGCAAGCAATCTCATGTATAAGCTACTCGCAGCTGATGTTTGAATGATGTGTTATAATATAAAGAACAGTTCATTATAATTCATTATAACCATAACACTCCATACACAATACCTAACCATTGTGAAGTGCTGTTAACTAAATAAATAATGGAGGCAAGTGCTATATGGTCTATATGCGTTTTTGTGTCCATTGTTCGTGTGCATTATTCTTGCTTATTATTTAAACACACAATAAATGAAAATAAAAAAATCATGTATAAATGTTATAATTTCGCGGTAAAAGGCTCCATAATATACGCACATCACTGTAGATTTTGGTTCCCGGGCAAAACAGGATTGTGGGAAAGAAATTGGTAGTGGTAAAATGTAATGTAAACTGCGAAAACATGTGGCTGAACATGTAATACAAAATATATTTAACCATTTTTTTGTGAACGACGTAATGTACACCCAACTTGCAGCATTTGTGTTATTTTACATTTACGTATGTGTTGTTTAGGCGTTAATACGTAGGTACGTGTGAAATTAGATTTATTAAATTATTAATAGTCTTTACCCAAAGACATCTTTTGGTGATTTGTTTGCTGGTTTTAGTTGTTCGACGGGTTGTTTGCTTGCTTTTGTCAAAATTCATTGATATGATGTTGAAATATACTTAGACAGTATAACGGTGAAATACATGCGGCAAACAACTTTGAAATGCATTGAAAAATTTTGAGCAGTATGAATGCAAAATTGTATTTTGATGGACTTTACTTCATCAATTATTCAAATATTTAATCCTATTCCAACCACATAACTTAAATAAATATCACGGCCTTCGCTCACTTTTAACGGTCGAACAAGGAGCTTACTTCCGGAAAAGATTTGGAGGGTGATTTATTATCGTTCGAGTCAAGGGTCGGGCTATTTGACATGCCTGGATTATTGGCTTACGAAACTGCATGAATTTTAACGAGCAAGCTATATGAAATATTTACTTTACTTAATATGCTTAAAACATTGTAGTAATTCTATTTAATTTTATTAAATAAAATTATGATTTTATTAAATAAAATTATGTATTATTAAATTATTTTTGTTCATTTGAATATAAATTGCTTTTGGTCCTGTGAAATCCGGTGGCTTACTGAAGCCGAAGGTTGGCTTAGTAGGATTGAACTATAATCACCCTTTTTTACACTATTCGATAATGTTAAAAATTTGTTTGCTCATGAAATAAACGGCCTAAATAGATTAAAACTGTTATTTGAACAACTATCTTTATTATATTCAATGAATATTTTACATTCTGCCGGTTGGTGCTCATAGAAATTGGTTGCTGAAATCATACGTTGGCTTACTGGGTCTCAAACAACAGTGTCATGACGGTTTTCTGTACATATAATGCTTTAAATAAGTCAATATATTCATTTCACAATTATTTTTGTCAATATAAATAAAGAAATTGCTTTTGTCTGGTGAAATACAGTGGCCAAGTAAAGCCGTATGTTGGCTTAATCGGATTTTTTGTCATATGTACAATACTATGAGATCAATCAATCAACCAATCAATCAACCAACCAGCCATTCATTCAATCAACTAATCAATCAACCAACCAACCAATCAATGAACCATATTTGAAAAATATTTGCAAGGCTTGTTCAAACTCGAACAAACACTTAACCGTACAGATCTACAAACAATTTCGAGATTTTAGTAAAAAAAAAAACACAATAGTTGCTTTTATTAAATCAAGAAATATCCAAAAATTGTACAACCAAATTAAAAAAAATTAGAAACCAGTCAACACTTAATAAATAAGTAAATAGACATTATTGAAAAGATTGTTCAAAAAGGTAAAATTTAAGGCGACGACGAGAATAAAATGTAGTTTGTTTTGTTGGTGTGGGGCTGTGAAACGAAAACAACAACATCACAAAAAACTAGTAAAAAGTCGCAAGAATAGTAGTCAGTCACCTACCTACAATTAAATTACTCTTAAGGCCCTAGCTTACTTATAATCATTAACTCAACTCACCTACCTACAAATATGTATTTCTACGTTTTTGGAATTTTACATATTTTAGGTATTTTAGTTTACATATTTCAGCGTTTTTATTTTACTTGGAACTTTTTAACTAATGTCAAGCCCTAGCCTACCTACGATTGTTCAACTCATCTCAATCCCTAATTTACCTACGAATCAAGTTAAGTCTGGTAAAGAAAATAGAAAGTTGAAGAAAAACATAACAACGACACCGAATGAATGGATGTTGTGTATGTATGTGTTGTATTGATGTGTGTGTGTAAATGTGCGTGCGTGTACTCTACAAAAACTTCTTTACCCACTACGGACGAGCCTCCATTGCACCGACCATCATCTGACACGCATCGATGGAATGAATTTGACCGGATACTGAGAAATAAATTGAAAAAAAAATTTTTTAAATAAAAAACAAGCCATTGGAAAAAAAGGCAACTTATCTTATTTAGATGACAAATTCGAGTACTTTTAATGGTACGATGGGACAAGAACAAATTTTCTTTTAATATTATCTTCAAATTGTCATCGGAACGATCATCATGAGACCACCACCTGAAACACGCTGACGCCCACCATAGCCCACCTCTCATCATTCTGAAGACAAGTTTTTTAATTAGCGTGTTGGTAAATAATCAAGGAACAAAAGAACGAACGAATAAATGATTAACTGAATGATTGAATGATTGGTTGAATGAATGAATTAACTCATTAATCAACCAATCAATCAATCAATGATTTAACGAATGAATAGAATGAATGAATGAATGAATCCTCCATTAATGAATCAATTAATGGAGGAATAATTTGAAAGATAGTAATAAAATGAATGAGAAAAAATAAAAAAAAAACTAAACCATACTTCAAAAATCGTCGTTGTTTTTTTCAAATTGTCATCGGAACGATCATCATGAGACCACCATCTGAAACGTGCTGACGCCTACCACAGCGAACCTCTCATCATTCTGTAAAAAAACTAATTTTTATTAGCTTAGTAGTAAATCAAGAAACAATGGAACGAACGAATAAATGATGAACTGAATGATTAAATAATTAGTTAAAAGAATGAATGAATGAATAGAATGAATTAACGTCAATTAATGGAAGAATAATTTGAAAGATTGAGGGAAAACATGAATGAATGAGACAAAAAAAAACGAAACTAAACTTTACTTCAAAAAGCGTCGTTACTTTAATCCATTGCACCGACCACCACATTCAGATCGGCACACAAGATTTCATCCGAACTTCTGAGTGTCAGTCGAACAGCCAACGCGCTGATTCTTCTATACCACCATCATCATACGGAAATCTGAGACCACCATCTGAAACATGCTGACTCCCACCACTGCCCACCTCTATCATTCTGTAGACAATTTTTTTTTATTAGCGTAGTAGTAAATGAATGTTAGAATCTTAGAAGCAAAAAATGATAAAATGGAAATAATGGCAAATAAATAATAACTGAAAATAATAAAGAGATTAAAATGTAAAAAAAACTTACCGTCGTCCATTTGACAAAGGCAGAATGTTGAATGCTTTCCGGTTCCTACGTTGTCCTCCAAAACTGGTGCCAGTCCTCCTCGAGATTGTTGCTGAAACACAGCCCGTGGAATGGAGAAAAAGAAAATTCTCATCAGAAAGCTTAGCGGTGCCTGCATCTCAAATTGCTTAATAAAAATAATCCTATCTACATATTCAATTACCTTAACTAATCTATATTAAATTGATAATGGTACGATAGTCGAAAGTCCCCCTTCATTCTCCCTCCTTGCACAGAGGTTCACCGACAGCCAGGGCACCGGATAGTAAACCATTGCCGTGCGGATAGTAGACTATTGCCGTGCGGATAGTAAACCATTTGCCGTCCGGATGCCGTGCGGGTAGTAGACTATGGCCATGCCGCATAGTAAATCATTACCGTGCAGATAGTAAACCATTGCCGTCCGGATAGTAAGCCATTGCCGGTTCACCACTGGCCACCAAGGCTTACCTCTGACAAGGGACTTTGAAATTCAGAGTCTATCGGCTATTGTACCCTCAACTTACCTATTCATTACAATTAAGCCCTAGCTTACATAAAAATTACAAAACTCAAGAGCCCAATTCATTGGCCAATCGGCACCCACCCCACCACCTACGTAATGCCTTGGGCTCCAACTTAATAATAATAATATAAAACTTAAACCTTAAATCTATTAATGAGTATGTGTTACAACGTAGCCTTAACTTACCTATTCATTACATTATGGTCCTAGCTTACCTAAAATTACAAAACTCAAGAGCCCAATTCATTGGCCTTTCGGCACCCACCCCACCACCTACGTAATGCCTTGGGCTCCAACATAATAATAATATAAAACTTAATAATTTACCTACCTATCGATACACTTACAGCGTTTTAATTTACATTACAAGATTGTTCCTAGAATTACATTATTTCCCTTAAGTACCTATGAAATTAAATTACTCTCAACCTTAGTAATAATAAATTAGAATGTGTAATGAAAATAAAATTACGCTCAAATACTAACATATGTGTTTATGTATGCAATTGTGTATCTGTGTGTAATACGCTGATGCGTGTAATGTGGGTGCAAGAAAAAATAGAAGCGACAAACTTACGCGCCTACCTATTCGACTACATTAGTGTTGGATGCTTCCAATCTATCCTACCTACAATTAAAATTATGCCTATCTAACCTACCTATATAGCTACTTAATGTGTGTGTATGTGTGTGCGTGTGTGCGTGTATGCATTCTTACTTAATGTTAAATTACAGAGAAAAAAGAATAAAACATATCCCAGCCAGGCGTGTATTCTTTGCCACTGAATGAACGAACGTAGCCTGACATCTTCCATGATGAGCTCCTCTGGAAGCTTCAACCTGAATGAAATGAATAAAATGAAAAAACTTATTTATTTAAATTAATATAAATGAAAATTGACAAACGAGCCGCGGTGAAACCTGCCTATAGAAAAAGCCAGCCAACTGGCAAAAAAAGGAACAGCAAAGAAACCGTAAAACGTACCCGTCTTTGCCAATGAATGAACAAGCGTAGCGTGACATCACAACCATTCTGATCGTCCACAATGAACTCCTCTGGAAGCTTCAACCTGAATGAATGAACCTGAATGAACCTAAATGGAAAAATCTTATTTATTTAATCAATTAAAATGAAAATAGAGAAACGCAAAGAAGCCGACCGGTCAGCAAAGAAAAGAACCTCAAAGAAAGGTATCTATATAGGATTTATGCTCTATATAACTCTATATAACTCTATATAACTCTATATAACCGCGCAAACTCTATATAACCGCGCAAACTCTATATAACCGCGCAAACTCTATATAACCATTCAAACTACCAAATTCAATCAATAAAAATTCCACTAAAACCAGGAACCACCGCGTACTTGTTGAATGTATCGTGTGAAACAAAACAAAAAAAAACCAAAACAAAATACACACCACCAAGTAAGAGTAAAAGAATAGATGTCCCTAACCTACCTATGTAACTAAATTACCATATGCCCTAGCCTACCTATATAAAAAATTAATTTTTAATCTCACCTACCTATGTTTCATTAACTTAACTCAAGACTCATGAAGAAAGAGAAAAAGGAGCAAAATGGAACACAACATACTACCACACAAACAAACATAATGTATGTATGTATGTATGTATGAGCAACCGCTAAAGAACCCACCTAAAATAAAAAAAATACAAACATACAAACCACAGACAAACATATATAGCCGCGCAACTCTATATAAATTTATATAACTCTATATAATAAAATAAATAAAATAAAAAAAATAAATTAGATCAGGCAGACCGGTTCAAGCATTAAGCGAGGCAGAATGCCTGATCTGATTTTCGTGCTGTCTCAGCTCCTATTTATACTCGTTTCAACAATACATTCTCATCATTTCAATCATTCACATCAGTAAAAAACTATTTTAATGTATGTAATACACTAATATACAGTCTTAACAACGATGCTAACCGTACTAAATTGACGTCAACGATCGAACGCCTTCGAAACTTTCTGATTGGCTGGTTGAATCTGCTATATTGCTTTTTATATAAACATATAATCTTATTAATTATTTGTATACATGGATTCTAGTTAATTTATATATATATATATATTAAAATTAATATATATATATATATATATTATATAAATTCTTTATAAAAGCAACAGTAATCAATGCTACATATGTAGGCACGCAGTTCAAATTTTTCGGGGAGAATTCAAAATAGTTTGAGACCACACCTTGCTTAACATCCAATTCCAAGCCGAGCCAAGCCAAGCTGAACCAATATGCGTAGATTTATAAGCGCTTTTATATTAAAATTTTGCTCGCTTTATATATATATAAATATATATATATAGTATATAAATTCATTATTGAAGAAACAGTAATCAGTGTTACATATGTGCGCACGCAGTTCAAATTTTTCTGGGAGAATTCCAAATAGTTTGAGACCACACCTAGCTTAACATCCAATTTCAAGCCGAGCCAAGCCAAGCGGAGCCAATATGCGTAGATTTATATGCGCTTTTATATTAAACTTTTGCTCGCTTTATATACGAATATCCCAATATAACAAATTCTCCATCCCATTTTAAAAATTTTCATTGATACTTTTTAATCAGTCAGGTCACAATCATCATCATCGATATCGCGGTGAAATCAAATTGAAAATTTTTTAATAATTGTTGATAAAAGTAACATATATATATATTGTAAAAAGTTTAAATTTTTCCGAGAGAATTCAAAATAATTTGAAACTACACCATAACACAATTGTACAATTTGAATGTGTAAATACAACATCATAAATGCATTATAACTACGTATATATATATATATATATATATATATATATATATATATATTTTTATATTTGCCTGCGTATGATATTTGGTCAAATTTATTTGATAGGAATTGAATACAACCTTTATACGGGCTGATTAATTACTATCCAGTAAAATAACTACTGTTAACATGACGTCATTTCCCTCCAACGATTTCGCAACGTAACTCACTCTACTATGGTCTTCCTGACTCTATACTCTATCCCTTAAGTAAAGCTTTTAACTCTGCGGCTCGTCTAGTTGCTCGTGCCTCTTTCTTTTCTCATATATCTCCATATCTTGTTTTCTTGCACTGGCTACCTATAAAATATAGAATAATTTTTAAAATTTGCACGTTTATGTACAAGTCTCAAACTAAATTATTTCCTAAGTATTTATCAGATATACCTATTAATTGAACCTAAACGCCCCGGTTTACGATCGTCTTGTTCTCGCTTTTTCCTAACTCGTGTTAAACACTCTTTTGCCGAATCTGCTTTTGGATTTTCTGGTCCTTTTCTCTGGAACCCTCTACCTACTTCTCTGACTACTTCTCCATCACTTGCGAAGTTCAGAGCGGATCTCAAGACCCATCTGTTTTCAAAATTCATTGAGGAGCGCTGTTGAACATCGCTGAAATAGCGCTTTATAAGTTAATTGATTGATTGATTGATACCCATCCTATTTTATAAATTTTATTTGATATTTTTTAATTAGCCAGGTCACAATCATCATCATCATCGATATCGTAATGAAATCAAATTGAGAATTTTTTAAATTTTTGAAAAAAGTATTTTTATTCATTTTATGATACCACTTTGTTCAATAAGATACTGTTCGATACATATAACTAGAATAAACTACATACGAAGTGTTTACACGTGGAATTCAATTTAGAATTAAATTAACTTTTAACTTTAGCAATATTGCGCAATCGAAGAGAAATGTGGGTAAATACACAAAAGATATTTTTATAAACCAATTAAATTTACTGGAATTTACGTAACAATTATAAATAGATTAATATTTAAACTTACGAAAAATATATCCATACAAATCTTTCTATATTTTAGTATTTCATGAGTTTTACTTAATTTTTTTAATGAGATTAATTTTAAAATGTTATTTGATTTGAGATTTAAAAAGTAAAACTTCATTTATAGTTACAGATTAATTTTGAAACAAATTGATGCGGATGAATATGTAAATAAATATTACCATAACAATTGTTCAGCCCAAATATATTAGTTTGGTCATCTGAATTTCAGTCATTTTTCTAAATTGAAAAGTTTGTCTTGTTGGTTGATTGATGAAATTCAATCGGCTGACTCCGTACAGACCGGCATCCAATCGTCAAAAAAGCGAAACAAATTCGCTTTGTCTATAACCTGCGGTGTTATTTAAATTCTATGTTAAATTCTTCAAATAATAATCTTAGTTTGTATTACGATGTATCTAGCACATACTACGGGTTATTAGGTGATCCGCCGGGTTCAGGTTTTAGTACGAACGACAATCAAGCAACTCTTTTCACTGAAAAATGTATCGACCAAACAACGCATACGGTGTCGTCATCAATGATAAACGATCTACTGGATTTCTTTCCCGCACCCTCTCCCCACATCGGGAGAGGACTGGGGCGCATTGCAGTGGCAGATTCTACGACGGCGGTGGATAGCTTGGACTGCCCTAAGTTTGACAACTCCAATGCTGATTTTGATGACATTCTCAGCAACATAACTGGAGATTTGTTTGATGGAACTTATTACTGTAGTGAGCAAACAGAGCTTTGTGAACCATCTAAATCTAAAGAAGAGACATTACTGATGGAAGGTGAAGATTGTTCTATTAATTTCAATGTGGAGGACATCTTGATGGAGTCAATGAAAGCCTGGTCTGACAAAGATTGTGATAAACAAGTTTCTGATTTACTTGATGCTGGAATGGAGGAAAGTGTCAACAACATTTCATTACTTCCCTGGCATCTGTGTGAACAGGTGATGTTTTGTTTCTGCACATTTTCACCACCATCTGTTATTTTGACTATAAATCTGAACAAATAATTTTAAATCCATTAACCTAGACTCTTCCTGATGCTGTAATAAAAGAAAATGAAAATATTAAAGAGGGGAATGATGTTCGCCATGCACAAAAGAAGGAAAAATCAAACTCAAGGAAGATGACGAGAAAATCCTCAACAGCTGGTATGAGTGTCAGCAGCAGCAGTGCCAGCATCTCATCTCTGGACAAAAACAATCCAAACTATATTGAGAAGCGAGAAAGAAACAACGAGTCAGTGAGGAAAAGTAGGGACAAGGCTCGTCAAAAGCAGATGGAAACAATGGAGAAAGTGAAGGTTTTGACAGAAGAAAATAGCAGGCTGAATAATAAAGTCAATGACTTGCTGAAGGAGTTGGAAATATTGAAGAGCCTATTTGCTAACATTGCAAATAAATGACAACTGTACTACAATACATTTTATTAGTTTGTAGCTAAACTACACTTATAGTTATTTAGCTTCGGCATATTAACTGACTATGTGATTTTTTTTCTATTATGCAGGATGATTTTTGTAAAAGCAGTTTACACATTTTAAATTATTTATTAGTAAAAACATTATTAGTATTTTAAAGAATAAGTGTGCTTCTCTATACATGTATATATTTTAACTTAGTTTACTGATTAATGGTTTTATGTTATGAAACATTCACCAGTTGAAATTTAGTGAACAATAAAATTTTTTCTACTGTACTACAATCCATTCAACAACAATCCTTAATGGGTATGCAGAATTAGATATAGTTGAAACAGCCAGAACAAATTATAAATAATTAAAATCTTAAAACATGTTAGTATCTTCTTTGGAGTCTGTTGATTGTGCCCCACACGTTGGAGATGATGCTATCGACCAGATCCTTCCTTTCCAAGTTTGTAGCCTCAGCTAGATCGCCATGGAACAAGTCAAACTCATCAACCCTTACGGACGGAAATGAGGATGACGTTAAATCATTAACAGGTAAAAGTTTAATTGCAGCCGAAAGGGGCAGGACACTTATTGTTCCAGTTTGTTGGTCTATGCTTAAGATGCCAATGTCACTCAGCCATTTGATGCTTTCAGAACTGTTGAATTTGATGTCTGTTCTACCTGTGGCAGACTCCAGCCACTTGCTGATGCTCTGGTCTATTTTTTCTTTTGTCACTCCAGAACCTTGGGAGTGGTTTGTTAAACTGAGTTAATGTTATTCAATTTTGTTTTGACTTTGTGATAAGGCTGTAAATATAATGCACGAGTTAATATTTCAAAGAGGTTAAAACCTTTGTTAGTAAGACTTTCGAGTTTATCACTACTGTCTTTAAAAGTGTTAACATCTTGGGCACTGGTAGATAGAAAGTGGTAGGACAACAAAACACCTTTCAACAATTCTTCATGACATTTGTCCATGACTACTGGAAGAATGTTTTGATTGCCTATGACGAAATGATCATACACTACGTCAAGGACGTCCGTTAGATATCTTTTCTGACGCTGTTTATACAAAGTCCAAAATGTGACTCCTGCGATTCCAAAGAATGCTGAAAACGAGATGGGTAGATAACCAAGGTGCATGTTCTCACCAAACATCCACATCACAGCATATCTAGAGAACAAGAAGAAGGCCGACAGGGATGCACTGTAGAGGATCAAGTTACGGTACGTTGGGTGCATCCTCAACCCACCTGCGTTAATGGTTCAAAAAAATTTCTCACTGATCTGCTATTTAAAAGCTTTAATTTTCAAAAATGTAAATGTTTTTTTGAACCTAGATTTTTCTTCCTACAATTCTTCAAATTAAAATTCTAGAATTTAAAAACTTATTACAATGTGCAAATAGAAGTAAGAAGAAATATTAGGATTAGAATAAAAAGTAGAAAAATGGGATTGATTTAAAAATAAAAATTGTTACAAGAAATATGAGATTCTGAAAAGTAGGTAGAAATTATGAAAAAAAATGAAAGCAATACAAGTGAGCCAGCCATTGAATTGTTAAATAATTAAAATATATTATAAATAACACACTTTAAATCATAGAATGCAGTTTAGATTCATCTTAATTTCATTTTAATAAAAAAAAAATATAATTTTAAATAATTTATTTTATAACCTAGAGGTAAAATAGTTGAAAAAGAAGAATATTGTTACCAGAAGGTGGCAGAAGAAGATGAAGTGTGTTGGCTGGGATATCCTTGTAGAGTTTCAGTGACAACTTCTTCTCATTCTTAAGCCTTGATGCCACTATGACTCTTTTGTACAACTTTCTAGACGTTTGTTCTCCCAGAAACAGATTTAAATACGATGGAGACGATGATGAAGAGGATGACGGCGCGTAGACAATATCTCCGAGAACCCAGAAGCGTAGTATTTCAAATTTGTCCGTCTTCACGTCTGCCTGTGATATTTGATATTCAAATTTAAATGTCATTTTTGAACATTGATTTGAATGGGTTAAGGATTTGTTTAAATTGAATTTAATTAAATTGAAAACTTAATAAAAAAATGATTACAATAAATAATTAAAATAAATAAACAGCTGAAACTAACAATTACACCCTTCCCAACTGGTTTCTCAGCCAGCATTTCTAGCAAGTCTCCTTTATCAATCTCAGTGAACCCTGCTTTGTCCAAATGATAACTAAACTTCTGTAAGAACCAGAACTCTCTGTCAAGTAATTCTTTGCTAGTAAATGCTCGACTGGCCAGTGTTGTGTTGTCAGGATTCAGAGGATCATATAGCAGCTAAGTAGACAAGTAGACAATAATTTACATAATTCATTAATTTACCATTACTTATAACATTTATTAATATCTAGTTTATAACTTCAATGAAAGTTGTCAGATAATTTTACATATGAGCGTGAGGATGGCAATAATTTTTTAAAACAAAAACTAAAACCAACATTCCAATGTTGGCATACATTTTAGTAGTTATTTAAATGTTTAAAAATCAAAATCAATAAAATTTAAGGTGTGATCAGTGACAAACGATTAACAAACCTTCATTTCAGGAAGATGACTGTAGTTAGTGTTGCTTATGATGTGGTTGACCCCAAATGCAAATTTCTCAAATAATCCCAATTCTGTGACATCTGATTTTTCTATATCTTGAACTAGTTTTTTGAACAAAGTTTTAGATGACAAAGGGACAAACCTGTGAAAACCATGTTCAAAACTTTGAATAAATAAAAATAAATTTTTATTAAAAATCTAGTAAAATCAAAATTTTAAATTTCCTTGAAAATGATAAAATCTCACCTGAAATTTATTTTATAATTTGAAAATCAACATATATATATATCTATATATATATATATATATATATATATATATATATATATATATATATATATATAAACTGAATGAATATTTTTGTAAAAATGAATAATAGAATAACATAAACTCATTAATTAGATTAATTAACTGTAACACGTTTAATAAAAAATAAGACATATTTTAATTAAATTTAAAATAAGAAAAAGAAAAGATACCTACCTGGTTATTGATGAGAATTTGGAACCGGTGGCAGATAGAAATCTTCTGCAGTTGGTAGGAAATGAAACAACATAATTATTTGCAGAATGTTTCTCACAGCTTATAGTTAAAGTCAATGCTGGACATGATGAATAATAATATGCAGCCCCGTTGTGGAAACATTTTTTGAACCCCTCCTGAAGAAAAATAATTAAATAAATTTATTTAAATATACTTAAATCATAATTCATAAAAAATTATTTATAAATATAAAATGAAAAATTGAGTAAAATAAATTAATTAAAAAATTTAAAATAGTCATATATAATTCACTTCACTGTAGAGACGCAATCGGCAGACTGGCCGAGATAGGGCACCTAACTTTGTAAAAGCAGACGCCATGTCTAACAACTGCTGTTTACTTTTAAATTTGTAACTGGAGATGTACATGAACAATCTAGTTATTAATGTTTTCTAACTTGTAGTTCCTTTGATAGTGAGCCCATAACAAGAGTTTTAGTAGATTACAAGTTTGATGTAATGTTAATAGAGAACGTATAATTCTTTTTATCAGTAGCTTAATTTTATTTTACATCAAAATTTAACATTCAGACCCTATGCAAAATGGATGAGGTCCTTTGATTCAAATTTTGGTGAGACTGATTACAAATAAAAACTGACATTGAAAAATACTGCAATACGTGTTTCGTGTGTGTAAAATTTTTTTTAGAACTTGATTCAAACGATGATGCTTTCATAGTATTTTATGGTTTAACCATTCAATGGATATTATATGTAATTAATGTAATGTTAATGAATTTTCCAAACTTTTCCCTGTAAATGTCTTCACAAAACGTGTTTGTCGACAACATTAATAACCCCAGTTACATTACACTACAGGATGGCTTTTAAAATTTCCTTATTGATATTCAACAAAATTATACAACGACCAATGTTTTTGTTCCTCTGGTAACGTCAAAACATAACGAAAAACAGAAACGTAGAACATAAGCTATCGAAATAGGTACTATTGAAAAATTTCTATACAAAGCAACAATTTTTGTACATCTTAAACATTGTATGTACGTTCACTTCAAAGAATATACCAACAAGTGTTGCATTTGTTGTTTGCGTGTTCTCAAATTTGAAGAACAAAATTGTTGAAGATTTGATTAGCGCCTGGAGAGGACACGGAACTGGCTGAATCCCTCTGGAGACAATTCTGAAAAAACTGTTGAATTATATGCAAAAGAAGACGAATGTGACTAAAATTTTCAAAACATTTTTCCAGTTATAATTTGTTGGAAAATGAGTTTAACAAACACGGATTTCAAAAAAAGGTTTTAAATTGAGGGCAAGTAATAAATCAGGTGCAATAAATTAATAGTTCGATGGACTCTCAAAAACTGGAAAACATTCAACGTGACAGAATTGTTGCATAAAATAGTGTCAGCTTTGATTGACAACTTACAATTAAGCGCACCAGCCCACACCCACCCACACCCACACACCCACACACACACCCACACACACACACACACACACTCCATGTTTATATATTTTTATTTATATATTAGACCTTTTTATATTTCGTATGTACGTGCTCTAAATAAAAATGATATTTTTCCATTTTGCTATCTTTCCCATTAACCCTTGCGTGATAAGGTGTGTGAAAAGATATATGTTGCTTATTCCATGTTTTCTTTTATCATTTTGCTGAGTTAATTCAATTTTTTACAAACATTTTTTTAAATGTAATTTTTAGCGTATTTTAGCTAGTATTCATTGGTTTGTGTAATTTAAAAAGGACATGTTTGCAATGGCAGGGCTTGTTAAGCTATTGACACAACAATTTCATGATCAAACGCTCCACAGGATTTGCCCTTCTTCCTTTCGTCCTTCTTACTTTAATACTTCCACACTTTTTTCTTTATCGCAACTACTGCTACAACTACTACTGCAACTACTACTACTACTACTACTACTACAACTAGTACTACTACTATACTACTACTACTATTACTACTACTATAAATGCTACTACAACTACTACTCCCACTATTATTACTACTTACGTAGTAACTTTCCCATTCCTACTGCTACTATTATTATTACTTAATTAGTTATTTATACTACAACCAGTATTAAATAGCATTGAAAATAAAAACTGTTGACAAAACACTGCAAGAAACAACCGCGTTGGGATGATAACAGCACCAACAACTACAGCATAAACACACAACATGACAACAGACGTAACATCGACAACAACACAACAACAACAACAACAACAACAACAACACAGCAACAACAACAGCACACGGCAACTGCGGTAACGTTATTTTATAGTTAAGAACTAGGAAAGACTGCCAAGGCATACCTGTTAAAAAAAGTTAACACTAGCAACGCTAGTCGCACGCCATAGTATAATGCACGATACTTTGCATCTTATATAAATCCTAACTGACCTCTGGCTGGATATCTTTCGACTGCTGGTTATTATTATCTAAAAAGCTATAGATATTTATTATTTATAACAAGAATTTAATATTTATTTAGAATTTAGAATTTAAGCTACTACTGTTTGCGCTGTTGTTGTTGTTGTTGTCGCTACCACCACCACCACTACTACTACTACTGCTGCTACTACAACTATTACTGCTACTACAACTATTACTACTACCAATTTTGATGAAAATAAAAATGAAAAAAGAACAAAAATTGATAAAATACTATATTACCGTAAGCAATCCTATGGAAAAACTTGAATAAAAATTTATTAAAAAATAAACAATAAATAAAATTATTTGCCTATGGCACGCATGTACGCACGCACATGAAATAAACAAAATTTGCTTTGGTATTGTGTGTGTATGATTGTGTGTGTGTATGTATGCGTGTGTGTGTGCTTAGCAAATTATAAACAATATCGCTCCACCCTATTTGACGTTTGGTCTGCTACAACCATCACACGTGACCATAATAAAGATAACTTGTTTCCGGTTCTCGATCGCCAACTTAACGAGCGTTTTTATTTAATGATTGACTGTTCAATGCAGATGTGTATATGGTGTATATAACTTGGATAAGTATTTAGTTGGATATGTGATTCGAACACCTAATATGCCCACATAGATAAAACCAGCAAACAAATAAACAGACAAACAATCAAACAATCAAACAAACAAACAAACAAACAAACAAACAAACAAGCAAGCAAACAAACAAGCAGTACTTTTTCAACTTAGTAACAAAACATTAACCTTACGTATGTCTGCAGATAACAAATCCGACTGACTAACAATAATAATTGGGCTGAGTTGATGAGCAAAGATTTATTTAGTTAGAGATGTGTGATAACAATAGGCAGTGTGCATCTGCTGAAAGCTGCTGGAATGCTTTAGAAACACGAAACTAGTTGCGTTCCTATGGCGTGGCCTAATTTTGTACGAGGTTTTGTGTAAAAAAATGCAAAACACGCGCACACAAATACGCACACACCTACACACACATTCACACACACATACAAAAACACACACACACAAAACACACATACACATTATCAACGAAAAATCATCATCGTCAACACCATCATCAAAAATTAATTTTTATAAAGATCCCATCCACACATATATGCTGGTAATAAAAAATAAATTTTCCACCTGATAACAAACACTTCATATACAAGATGGTTTCTGGGCCTATGATCTATGCTGTGCTACCTTCCAACTCCAACGCTGACTTCAACCTAATCTCGAATGTAATAGTGAAGAATTAATTAGCGAGAAATTTATTACTCGATTATTATTATTTTTGTTATTGTTATTATTATAATTTAACAATAGTCTCATGTACTCTGCAATATCGTCATCGTATGCCATTTATTGTGACAGAAATACTAATTGAATGCATCCTTTAGAACTAATCCTTTCTTGTTGCACGCATTCTTCTTTAGGATGTCGAGCTTCGTAGAATATTTTAATTCTTAATTTTGAAACAATTTTACTTTTATTAAATTTTAATTCATTAACAATTCTTTTTAACGTGTGATTTATGATGAAAATAAAATGATGTTCCCATTATTATTATTATTATCACCACCACGTGTATATATATCTCTATAAAGTATGTTCGTGTCTGAACATTTTGTATATGTTTAGTATTTTTTAAATGTTTTTATTTGTTCAATTGATCGTCTGTCATCTGATTTACGAGTGATCTCTATTTTTATCCATTAGGCCGTTCAATTTGTTCGGAGGAGATTTTTATATTTGGCAGTCCAATCATGTGTGTTTTTATTAATTCATTTATGTTTTGATCGTCTGTCCATGAATTAACTAATTAATTAATTAATTCATTCATTAATTCCTTCATTTGTTCGTTCGTTCGTTCTTTAATTAATTCATTAATTCATTCGTTCGTTCGTTCGTTCGTTTATTCATTTCGTGAGTCATTTTATTTATTCAGCCAACCATTAAGGCAAAACAGACTGGCGTATACCAATTGTATTACGCTCCATAACAATTATATTTTGCATTGTCTGTGTTATCATCACATACACATGCGCAAACTCACACACACCACACACACACACACACACACACACACCACACATATAAAACACACACACCACATATATAAAACACACACACACACACACACTCACAGACACACACATACATGAGTACACAACATAAACATATAAAGTCAAACGCACACTCAAACACACACGCACACAAACACACATAAACAAATGAACACCCGTACACACATACATATACATACACATACACGCATACTTATGTGTTAGTAAATTGTATTAATTCAACTTAATGTTTATTCCAGTAACGATATAGCAAGTTGAAAATTTCGTGTCAGATATCCATGATTACAAATCCTAATTTTAAAAAACAGCAGCATAAAGTTAGATGAAAAAATGTTGTCCTAATGCAGTCTTAATTAAATCTATTGAAGACATCATTTGCAAGTTTTTCATTCGAAGTGCTTATCATGATGAAAATTTATTTAAATTTTAGAAACTACAGTGGAAATAAAAAAATTTAAATTATTGAAATTAATTTTACGCGAATAGCGTATTAAAAATGACCTAATGGCTTTATCTAGAAGGCGTAAGATTATTTAACATCCTGAAAAGTTGAGTCCAGCCGATGCCGTTTGTAGGGAAAGAAATCCAAAACAGCAACAACAATTCTTTTGATGTTATTTGATGAGGAGTTTGCATGTCGGTGAATGCCTTTTTATTTTAAATTATAGTCTACTTACACAGTCTACACTATGGATGCTACAAAATGCACACATCTTCACACACATATTCACACACACATTCACACACAGACAAACAAACATTTACACAGACACACCACACACACACACACGCACACCACACACACATATTCAGATATAACGTACACACACACGCATATACACACGGTACAGACATACAACATACACATGTAGAATATTTTGTAGGCTCTTTATGTATATATGTGTGTCGATTTGAGGGTATATAAGATGGAGGTTTCAATTGCCAACATTAAGTTTTGAGATTTGGAAAACTGTTTATAAATAGTTACTTCTATTTAAATATATCTGGATAAATTGAAAGTTTTTTGATGTTTGAAGCATGTAATTATAATTTTTTTCCCAATTTATTTACGTATAACAAATTACTTTATAAATTAGGATGTAGGGACAAATATGCCACTACTGCTGTTACTCATTCGCCGTTGGTTTGTTGTTGGTTTTTTTACTCACATCACATCTCATCATTATACCTCAACTTCGTCATCTTCATCATTCTCATCATAACGTTTGCTATCAAAATCATCATCTTCATCATCATCAAAATGACGTTTGTTATCAGCTTCGTCATCTTCCTCATCATCATCATCATCATATTCAGTTATATGTCATCGTCATCATGTTCAGTCACGTTTGTCATTGTTAAAACGTCAAATTTTTAAAATTATTGTATTTAAAATGGAAAATAAGCATTGAAATAAATAAATATAAAAAAATATTTTAAATAATTCAATAAATGGATAAAAAATTAATATACGCCATAAATATTTTGCCTTGTTTACATCTAAACTTTCGCTGCAATAGGCATTCCGATGCAAAAAGATCATAACAAATTCTTTTGGGACACGCACCGTTAATTACAAAAACAAATTTGTATACAACTTTTTGTGGGAGCTGCAATCCCCAAAGTCCCCCAACCAACTCCCCTCTCATACACCCACACGACTATCACCAAAAAATATTGAAGATGAAACCATCACAAGGGAGAGACAGTTTGTAGTCTCAACAACATCAGGGGCCTCTTATTGGTTCTGCTGCTGATGCACAAATGATCGATTGCTTATACTTATTTATACTGATGACAGCACTGACCGTGATGGGACGTCGATGATGACGTCAATGTTGAAGTAGGTGATGACGTAGATGCTGATGATGCTGATGATAATTTGCATAACAATCATAATAATAAATTATTATTATGATTGTTATTTACAGATACAAAATCTAAACGATGATCACATGTTAATGGAATTGAACTTAATCGTTAACACACATGCAGCTACAACAAAAAACCTTACATAGACCTACAGTTTTACGGATTGATGGCAAACCACCCAACTAATTTATAACATCCTTTAGACCAAAAATAATGGCCAACAATGCCAACAACAGCAGCAACAACGATGACAACAACAACCATGACAGCAACGACAACATGGCTGACAGCAACAACAACAACCGCATCAACATCGTCGATAATCATATTGAAGATAATCCACACTGTCAACTTAACGAGATGTCACCGAATCGCGAGGAATCTGCAAATGTATCGAGTGGTCAGGTGACTAAAACTCTTCTTATTGGAATAACTGTAAAAATTGACAAAATTCAAAATTTTTATGAATGTTTTTCTGAAATAAATTACTTATGGGTCTATAAGTCTTTATACTTTTTATTAAATTTATTTAATATCTGAAGTCATTAATATATTTTCCATGGTTGAATGTCAACATTTGCATGTTGTTACACTGATTCGGGTTTACATCTTTACGCTTTGGTTGCTCTGTTTTTTATTTTTTATGGTCTATACATTTCATCCTTTTAGAGGTTTAATATAATTAGTTTTTTTGGCTCAGTGTTTTTTTTGTTTGGTTATTAATTTTTTTTACAGTTGCTAATTTTGCATTTACACATGCACGCACCTATTGCTACTATTTAATTGACTAATAAAATGGTTTTTATGTTTTGTTTGTTGAGATTTTTAAGATTCCTTGTTTTGCTTATGGCATTTTTATTTCGTTATGTTTATTTTTTTGAGAGTTTTTTTATTGTTCACGCATCTCAAGACTGCCGCATGCAAATTATGTTTTCTTGCGCATCCATCCAACTCAAGCTCCTGGGACCACGGAAATGTTTCATCCTTGCTAGCCCCATCACATACGTCATCACATACTTCATACAAACATATGTCTGCAAATATAATCTGCCTATCCTTCTATTATCGCCACACCTTTACTTGGCTCCAACTTTTCATATCTTTCTTGTTTTATAAAAACCTTTTTCAAATATTTTCAATCATATTTCAGTATATCTTGCTAAGATTTTTTTTTCTGAAGAATTTTTTAGTGAATGACTATAGAAACGATCGTTTTACCATTATGAACTTATGATATTCTGATTTAAAGAACTAAAAAAAGTTCAACCAATGAGCCAGCGTTGTGGAAATATTTAGAAATTTTGAAATGATTTTCATTAATTATTGCAAGGTAGTGTATGAATTCATTTAGAAGTCAGTGCGTCAGTTCAATTCTCGTCAAGTTAACAAAAACAGCATCAATCTCCTGCGGTTGTGAGTGCGTTGTGAAGTTGATATGCAAATTTGCATTTCAATTCCGCATAAAATAATGGAAATCCATAATTTGTCTTCGTACATTCTTCTTTCCCTTTCCACATAGATCCATCTCAATCACTCAATTTTGCATACGTGTCTGTGCTTTCAAATAAAAAAAACTGAATTCATCGGCTATGCTGCAAGTGTGCAACTTCACATACAACACTTTTGAAATATTTTTGCGGACAAAAAATCGTAAGTTAAATCGTGAAAGGCAGGTTGTTCCAAATATTTTTCCATAAAATATTCACGAATAAAAACTGCAAAGACTGCCAGAACAATCTCAAACCTGCCAAAGAATAAATTTTTACATATTTTACAGAACGTAAAACTTAATTTAAAGTTTTTTTTAGCAAAGAACTTCGAGTGCTAGGTAAAAAACAATAAAACAAAATTCAGCTCAGGCAGAGCGTATTAACTTGAAGAAAGTCGTAGAGCCCTTCAGAGACCAGGCACGATCCGTACATTCCCGCTGAAAATATAATACAGGAAACTTCATGCATACAAATCGCATCGCATCGCATCGCACTCACTCTCTCTTTCTCTCACACACACATACATACACACACACACGCAAACACACACACGCACACAGAACTTTTAACAACACTTTTAACAGTAGATTGGAGCATATCACTTGACTCGTATGCATGTTAATGTTTGCCAACAACGAAACGTTAAACGTGGGTGTGGTCCCACTCCTGAGAAGCTGGTTGCAACTTTAGAATGATAGATGGGCTGTCTGATGAATTGCTCCATCTACATAACTCACTCCCAAAGATTGGGTGTCTCCGAAGGTGAATGTTCTTGCACTTCCACTAGCAAACGTGCATGCATTCGCAATCCACTTTTATTCCAATACATATCTGTAACAAGGTACGAAACATTGAAATTTAGTACACAAAGATTTTAGATGGAAATATCAAAAAAATGTGAATCGTATAAACGTTTGAAGCATGTTTCATGCTTTAACGATAACATGATAACAGTTTGGCTGTTATAGGTAAATCTTAACATACACACAAATACACTCACACACAAAAACACACACACTAAAACACACACACATACGCGCGTACACTCAGATGTGTAATTAATTTCATATACAAAAAATTTTTACGAAAAGGTTAAGACATTTTATTAGCATAAATATAATTTAAAGCACTCGAGCAAAAATTAATCATTCGCTAAAAACATCAAAATAAAACAAACGACTCAAAACGGACAAATTTCATCTAGGTACACAAGAAAGAATGAGAGAAAGAAAGAAAGAAGAAAGAGAGAGAGAGAGAGAGAGAGAGAGAGAGAGAGAGAGAGAGAGAGAGAGAGAGAGTAGAAGGAGTATAGAGAACGGAGCATTAAGTGCTCTTATAGAAAATATATTTTATGTGATAATTTGTTTTCTACGCCAATAAACAACAACACAGTGGCCCCAAGAATAAACAACAACACAGTGGCCCCAAGAATGTTTAAAAACTCTCAACGAAGTATTATAAACTCACATATATTACATGCCACAACAACAACAACAACAATAAACAAAACTATATGATAACAACAGCCCAACAAACACACATACAAACAAACAAACAACACCTAACAACAACAACATAACGTACATTAAGTAGCAACGACAATGCATTTTAGTTCAGTTACAATGCTATAGTTTTTGTTGCGTTGTTATGTATTGCGATATTTTTTCGATACTGCTATTCGATACTCGACTTTTATCCTGTTAAAAACCAGTAAAACATATGGGCATGAAATAAAATTATTTTAATTTTTATGAAAATTGTGTAATGACAGTTTGCGAAAATAACATTATAAAGAAAAATATTTCAAATGAATGAGCCAATTTTTCATTAACAGTTTACAACAAGCTGGAACAAGATGTGTTTAGTGGTGGGTCTAGGAGGGAGGTGCGGGAATACCTGCCCCACACCGGACATTGAATGAAAAATATGAAAGAATTGTGTGAAATTGTTAAAATAAATGTCGGCAACAATTTTAAAAATTTAAAAATTATCCCCAACGACAACTTCTAGATTTGTCACAAACTATTTTTTCAACATTTATGTAATGTCACAACAAAATTTTGTTGTAGTTGTAGTTGTTATAATGTTTTTTACAGTAAGTTTTTGTGTCTTGATGTGTTTCTGTTATTATAATAGCAAACACACATACAAACGCAACTATTATATATATATATATATATATATATATATCATTATGACACGAAACGAACAGCATATAAATACAAAATCATCAACAATAAAGCAAATAAACACAAAAAAACAACAAAAACGAAAAACATACAAATAAAAACAGGCTTCAGACCGTGAAACAATAAAACGTTAATTCATTTTACTTGGTTCTTTTGTGTTAGTCATTATGTCCTCTACATTAATTTTTTATTTATGACTTTGTTGTTACAACAATATTTTTCATGTAAACACATACACACAAAGTCACGCACACACACACGCACACACACACACACACACACACACACACATATATACAATACATAATGCAAAAAACCTGGTTCATCTAAAGCATTCAAGCCTACCTGTATGAATGAACTGCACACCCCCCACACACAAGCACGCACGCACACAGATACACACACGCCAAATTAGGTAAGGTCTTTTTATGCATAGCCACAGATAACATATTTGTGTAGGCGAATCTTGTAATCTTGAAAAATATTTTTACTGTGGCATCTTTAGCATAATTTATTAATAAAATTAGGAAAAGATACAAGAGATAAAAGCAAAAACTAGAGAAAAAAAATTTTTTCATATAACGACACGCTAAACCAAAAATTTTTGCTTTGACGAAGATGAGGTTTTAACGGGTGGAGTAATGCTTGGAGGTCGAGCTGATCAAATAAAGAAAAAAACTCTCCTATCTCCAGTGAACAACACGATGTATGATGGTTTTTGGAGTTGTTGTTGGTGCGTTATAATTAGCGAGTTCTAGTTTGGTTGGCTGACTGTGTGTTTGTTGTTTTATGCAATCCTTAAATTCAAAAATTAAAATGTCGGTTGGATATATAGTTTTTTTCAATTTTGAAAGAATGACATGTTATGACAATTATGACAAGAATTAAAAGGAAATTGAATAAAAATTACTCCAATAATAAATTTATGCTATGTAACTTCTTTTATCGATCAAGCTGGATGTTGTATATTATTTTGAATTATAAATCCATATTTCAATCATTTTATTTTTTTATGATATACAATCACAAATCACAGTATCATCTGCACTTATGATTTGTTGATCTAATGTTAAATTTTGTTTATCATCCAGATCGTGATCTACAGAAAGTACAACAGGAAAAAGAAGACGAAGAAGAAGTTTTTTAAAATGACGTCATGCATGAACTGCACCGCCACTAATGATTTTCCTCAGGCCTGCCATGGCAAACAGCGTCTTAAATCTGCAAGAGCTAATAACACCGACGATAGGAATGACGTAAGAAGAGACGTCATCAACCCTTCCACTCCCCAGCAACGTCTGAAACAAAATTCGCAACTCCAACACTTGCCAGAGAAAGATATGACGCATAACTTGCCACAGCGAAATTCAGGGCATGGTCAATTCTCAGTAAACATTGACGTTGAGTTTGAGTTGTCGAACTGTGCAAACACAAATGAAAATATTAATGATGGTGTTAACACACACAGCCAGAATTACGACAATATTAATGAGAATAAAACTTGCAAACTAAGCAACATTTTCAAAAACACTAATCGAAACAACAATGATGACATCAATAGCAACAACAACAACACGGGTCTGAACGAAACAAACACTAGCCAAGCATCTTCAATGCCTCTATTGGCAGTCACATCGGAATCATCAAATAAACCAATTAGTGCTTCAACGACGAAATCAACAAAAGCAACAACAAAACAGACGACTTCATCTAAAATTAGCAAGTCCAAAACAACACCAGCTTCATTAGCAGCGTCAGCAATAGTTTCATCCACAAAAGTGGCAGCCACACCACTAACAGTCGCTAACATCGCAACCACAATGTCCTCAAACGAAGATTCCAGATCTAAAACTAAACGGCAGTGTATAAGTTGCTTGAAAAAATTTCTCGCGTTCTTCTTTAGTACGGTTGGTTCGTGCTGTTCTCTCGTCTGTTACACCACTTTTGGCGGGTTTTTGTTCGTTTATTTGGAGTCTGAGAACGAGAGGCACGTCAGGAACGACATGCGGTCGAACAAGGATAAGGTCAATTGGCGAAATGTTTTCATTTCTTTTTTTTTAATTTCTTAATTTTCCAATTTTCATATTTTAATATCTGACAAAGAAAATAAAAACCTAGTCTATTACATGCATTAAATTTTTCGCATCTACAAAAACATCAAAGACAAATTTTTTAATATGTCTTTTGCATCACCTTCAAGTACTTCATACGCAATGAAAACGCGCGCGTGTGCGTGTGCGTGCGTGTGTGTGTTCATCTTGACTCCTTAATTTTGTACACTCATATAAATACGGTACATATATAAAGACATGAAGGAAGAGGCGTGCAGTTTATATTTATATGGATGCTGTTTGTTTTTCAATGTTTACAAGTAGAAACGTCGATTTAAGTGTGTTTGATTGTTCTTTCTTCTTTTAAGTCATTGATCTTTTTAGGTCGTTAACATCTATTACAACAAAGATAGGCACTTTGAAATTATTATAGTTTTAAATCTACTTTATTGTATGTTTTATAAATTTTTAAAAATTTCAATCACATCGTTCTTTTTAATTACTCAAGTTCTCACACAATTTTACGGTGCATTTCATTCCAATAATCAGCATCTTTTTTGTCTAGACATGTATATTTTAATTAGCTTTATACTTGAAATTAATAAAACAATTTTTATTACATAGGTGGTAGAAACTCTGTGGAACCTGACAAAAGAAATGAACATCCTACATGAAAGGAACTGGTCTAGAATGGCTGAGATGGTTTTGAAAAACTTTACCGAAGAAGTTTATAAGAACTCAAAGATGAAAGGTTTTGTTGAGATTTTGTCTGTTAATGTGCATGCGTGTGTGTTTTTTTTGTGTGGGCGATAGTTGTTTGCTTGAAATAAATTTTTAGCAGTAATAAAATTTTAGTAGCAAGTTACAATAATAATAATGTCATTTGCCGAAATAATTGTCAATTGAAATATTTTAATTTCAATATTTTTCACAAGGTTGGGATGGTTCAGACGCTTCGACAGATGATGTCTTGCAATGGGATTTTGCTGGCTCCTTACTCTACAGCATCACTGTGGTCACTACTATTGGTCAGTATGCTTGTGTGTGTGTGTGTGTGTGTGTATGTGTATGTTGATTTGTGTTTTTTGTGTGTTGTGTGTCGGTCAGTGTTTGTTTGTTTGTTTGTTTGTGTGTGTGTTGTTATGCTAGTATTATTTTGTGTTTGGTTGTTTTGTGCAAGTTAAGTTTTTGTGGTTAGGTAGATTGGATTGAATATAGAAAACCTCGAATAATATTTAACACGGTGAAAAAATTTTCCAAGAATAAATAAAAACATTTTGATAGGAAAATAGAGGTTTTGCATGCAAGCGCACGATAAACAGCGCAAAACATTGAGGAAATGGATTTATTGAGCCAAAGTACTCGAGGCGAGAATAAACTGTGCGGAAAAAATTTCAAGTTCTACGTTGCAGAACTTGATTGATGAACATTTCATTCTTGACTTTCTTGGTTCCGTTAGTGAAAATATCCAACCTGTCATGTTTTCTCTTACTAATTCTCTTAAAATATTTCAAAAAAATTCAAAAAAATATTATAGACACAGACTAAGGACACACAATTTAAACTAATTTGCACAAATTTACACACACAAACACACACCACACACACAAGCAAACAAACACACATTGATAATTCACTTTTAGTTTTCAAACTAACACTGGCTCATCATGTTTGTTTGTTCAATATTATTTGCCTAGCAAACAGGTTTAATTGCAAATTTTTCTACCCCAACAAGCTGTGGATTTTGTGCTGCTTTCCATGGGCATAATGATGGAATGTTTAACTGCACTCTATTTTACTAATGTTTGTGTAGTTGTATTTTGTATGTTTATACGTATGTGTTTGTATGTATGCGTGTATGTATGCGTGTATGTATGTGCGTGTGTGTGTATATAAATAGTAATTGTATGTTTGTAAGAGATCCAGTTAAATTGATGTTTGCCTGTTTGCATGTTTGCACGCAGACGACTAAATGGAGAAATGTCAGTCGGAATGGACGAGAAAATTAAAGGTCTACGTAATGAATGCGTGGATGTTATACAAATAAAATGCATGTAATAGTGTTTCCTGGTGTGTATGTTTGTTGGTGTGTTTGTTTGTATGTTTGTTGTGATGTATGTTTGTTTGTTTGTTTGTATGTTTGTTGATGTTGTGATTAGTATAGTATATGCGTGTTATAGATCCAGAAAACGCAACGCAGTAAACGCATCGTTAGTTTTCATATTCCAAACGTAAAAGTTGAGTCAACTTCATGCATATTTTTTTTCAGTTTAAGTCACATAAAATAGACAGAGAAATAAACACACAAACACACACACACACACACACACACACACACACACACACACACACACACACACACACACACACAGACACACACACACACACACACACACATAAACACACATAAACACACACATGCGCAGACATACGTAGACAGTCACAGAAACACAGACAAGAACAAAATCAATGATAAACTCTCATTTACACAAACAAAATAGTGCGATTGGTTAGAATAACAATTGATGATATCCATCAACAGTAGATACAAAACGACCCTAGCATAAAAAAAAATCACGACAATTATCACCGACCATTAGAATGATGTCACGCTTGGGCGGTCACGTGTTCTGACGTCATTGTTGTTGCTGTTGATGTTTTTGTTGTTGATGATGATGTCATTAATGTTAAGATTGATGTTAAAGCTAATGTTGTTTTATTGTCTTGAAGATGTTTTAAATTGAAATTCGATAATTTTAAATGTTTCAACTTTTTTTGATGTTTTTTTTTGGTCCGTATTATGTTTAACATTTTAAAAAAAAATCTCATTCATACAATTGAGAACGTAGTAAATTAACCGTGGTCCTAATTTAGGCTAATTTTACAATGAATACAACAGCATTAATACGTTCTTTTTCATCATAATAATGCATTTTTATTAAAAATACAGCTATAAATAACACAAAATTTTTCACGTGTGCAATAATTTAAAAAAAATCCGCCACTAATTTGGCGCTATCGAGTAGAAAGATGATAAATTGTTTCATTGATTTCGTTGCGGCCGATGATATTGATGCAGATTGTTCACAAATTGTACATTCATTTGATGTTTTTGTTCGTTCGTTCACCAATTATGAAGTCCTGGTTTTTGTTCATGTTCGTTCACAAATTAATTGTGTTGCTCGTTGATTAATTATAGTCAATAAGTGGTTATTTAAAGCTGTGAGTGATTATGAATTGTACACCTATCGACAGTGAATCTGACCTAAAAAATAGTTTGCTATAATCCATGAGATGTTGGTACATGTGCTAAGACAATGGATTGCCATTCAATCAGCATACGTGTAAAATAATGAAAAAAAACATTTATACCACCTCAATTACTTCTTCTTCTGCTAGTATAACTACTCAACTTATTTTAAAGTTTTTTTCACAGTGTATTTTTAAATTCTTAAAGACACTTTTGCGCATGTATAACATAAAAAATTAAATTGAAGCTCTTTTTCTGCCAAAAATCGATAACTTCAAGTATAGAAAAGTATGACACAATTTTAACAACGTTACAACTGATACTTCTGCATTAGTTATTTGAAAATTATTCATAAAAATATAAATAACAAGATAAAAAAATACTTTCTGTTTATCATCAGTCCCTCACGTGTGGTGCATTTAGATGAAAAGAATTTTGGACTTTTGCAATTATTTCTTATAATGTATCCCACGTCTTTTAAATTTTTCAATCTTACATCTGAGTCTATATTCTTCTTCATAACATGAAACCGTTTTACAAGTAACTTACTTCCTGGTTGGCACGTAGTTTCATTCTATTTTGATTAATTTTTATATTTAATTTACTGAATTCAATTTGTTTTTAAATGATTTCAAAAAGAAATATATAAATCACTAAGTACCAGAAATAATAAAAATGCCACATTATCGTGAATTTTGATTAGTGCACATATTTGCATACTACTTACTTAATTCTCACCACTAATCTCATGCTAGCTGTCAGAGAAAATGAAGATAAACATAGAGGCCCATCCAACTTCACAATTTTTTATCTCTTCATCTAAAAAACGCTTTCGGTATCGAATAACTTTGCCATTTCGATTCGGTCATACCGATTCGATCATTTCGATTCGGTCATACCGATTGATCATTTCGATTCAATCATACCGATTGATCATTTCGTATAATGTTGTGACGCCTTAGTACGTGACTTCTGTTAATAAACACCCAAACATAAACACACGCACACACACACACAATCACACACACATAATAATAATATGGTATGTGTGTATAAAAATATATATTAATATTTATGCTTATATAAACGTGTGTATGTTTCTGTTAGAAAAAATTTCCAAATGGATTTTATAGGTCGGCCCTTGCCTTCTTGCTCCCATTAATAATGCCAGTATCAAAAGGTATGATTTACGAGACCTACTACACTCTCCATTATTATTTTTCTTTACTTCTGCTGGTATAATTACTCCAATTACTTCCGCTGCTGTTGCTGTTGTTGATACTACTGCTACTGCTACCACTAATACTACAACTTTTCATTTACTGTTACTTCTTCTAGCAATTACTTCTGCTAAAGGCACAGAAACAAAAATAGAGTTACAAACAAGAATGTTTTTAGACGTCTTAGCGACGGAGCAATATTAAGACATAAAATTTTATAAGTTGCAGCTTTATTATACAATATATCAAAGTTAGGATTACTAAAAAAAGTCATCGCATATGGCACATACCCGCACCCACATACACACACACCTACACACACACACACCCAAAAACACACACACACATACACACACATACACACACGCATACAGGCACGTAGCTAGAGAAATATTTGACAAACAAACCAAAATCATGAAATATATATCGCAATTACAAAAAAACATCACATCGGAAAAACTTACCCACATGCTAGCCACAAATGCAAGGTCCTTCTAATTCCAGGAAACTTCAATTTGAGAACAACGAAAAAGTTGGATAAATCCATGCAACCATTCGCATTCATATAACTACAATGCCTAAAAATTTTATATGAAACAAATTATTTAAAAAGGTTATTGATCATGTGAACATGTCTATAATTGCACAAACACGCTATTGAATTAAATAATTAAACGTGTTGTATATAAACAAACACACATACAGACATACATACACACATACACATATCAGTATGATACAATAAAGTTTTTATATAATCGAAGTAAAATGAACATCATACTAATACATACACACACACTTGCACACATGTTTGTGATTGAAAACACCCAAATATACCAGGAGTGTTTCTCTCTCTCTTTCTCTATCTCTCTTCTCTCTCTCACACACATACACACACACAACACAACATCTGATGATATAATAATATAATAAGTAATGCATGTAGACACACACATTCACGTACAAGCATGTAGACACACGGTAAAAACACACAAGTGTCTGTGTGTATTTCTTCTTAGATATTCGTCGTTTAAAATTGCTTTGGCTTAATTATTTTTTTTTCATTTTTTGATTATTCATGGTGGAACTTATGGGAAGTTTACGAGTTTGTTGAACTATCATCTGAAGGTTAAGTTTATTTTACATTTTTAAATGTTTGGAATTTCTAAATTAATTTTCAATTTTGGTGTTAACAAATAACTTTTTCTGTAATCTTGTGGTCCAGTACATAAATTAAACAAATTAATTCCATTCTGTCTTAAAAAACACATACTTAGACACACACACACACACACACATTTCGACACACATAAACCTCAATTCATTCATTCATTCATTCATCCATCCATCCAACAAACCATTCGATACAAATTTACACACACACACACCACACACACACACACACACACACACACACACACACACACACACACACACACACATTAACGTATAGAACGTACAAAAGAACACTCTGCGACTTTTGATGACGAGAACTCGTTTGCGTACGTCCCTAGCAATTAAACCATCTCCGTGACGCAATTCCAATCAATTTCCGCTA